ATTCAGAGACTGCAAGCCAAGGAGAGAATCGTGGAAAATGAACTCAGGTCATTTTGAAATTACAACTGATTCTTCTTGTTTTAACTTACAGGGTGACTCCCCTGTAGTTTTATATTTTGCAGGAGATATCCAGAACCCTTCGCCTCTAACGACCTTGAACATGCCAAAGATTTCTAAGGAAATGTATATTATACATTTCATAACTAATATCTTAAAATTATCTACCTAAAGGAGGAAACCCTGCTCTCTGCTTTGGGGAAACTTGTCATTTATTACCTTCTGACCTGGAAACTGGAGCCCTGCTTTTTCTCTCAGGATCAAGATAACCTTGAAATTGAGCTTAAGTTCATGTGCCTTAGTTTCTCTACTTGTAAGCAGTTTCCTATAAAAATTGTTTAAACACTAAGTAGAGCTTACTAAATATTCCATCTTTTACCTTACAGAAACAATCATGCCCTAAATTTGATTTTTACCCTGTAAACAACTGTACTGTGGAAAGCAGCTAAGTTGTGAGACCATTTTTCTGCTTCATTATAATTCAATTTTCTGATCTTGCACCCATGTTAGAAACTGTAGTTAATTTGTACAGTCTGGCGAGATTCCAACCTTTTCTCAGGAGAATACTTTAAATGGCAATACTTATTCAAATATTTCTTCCAGATGGGTGTGATGGCCCATATCTTGTCTGTATAGTGCTGTATTGACCATGTGTGACTTACATCCAGTTCCCAGGAACTTGTAAAAAATATTTTAAGATTCTGAGTGGAAACATGAAAAGTTTAATGATCCAGTGTGTTGGGGAAAAGTTTTTAATAGTGATGGCAAATGCTGTTATTTGGGAATGACAGGTACTTTATTCTCTTACATTTGGTACCAGAGCCAAACATGTATTTCATAGCTGCTCCTTCCTTTATTACAAATCTGCAAATAACTGTTCAAATTGGGGAGATGCATTGGCAAGAACTTCTTCCCTAGCTTCCGGTTTGTCTTCACTGCTGTTGCTTCTGTGGGAAGCCCCTTTCGGACAGGACTTATTCTGGGGCATCTGGCATCTTTAGTGATGTTGTCACCCTTTGAAAGATCAGTTTACAACTTTAAATATACTAATTTTGAGAAAAGATGTTTTTTAGGTTGCTTGACTAATATAAATCTTGTTTTCTTGGCTTAAGCTTCAAGACTGTGAAATTGCTTTAGAGATAAATTCTTAATGGTTAAAGTACTTACTGGGACTGGTTGGTGAAATACCTTAACAAATAAAACTATTTGCTACAATGCTGATTTTTCTGTATTTGTTTATACATATAAAGTTTAAAAAATAAAATATAGACCTTAATACTAAGATGGTTTACTGTGAACATTTATTTGGTAGAGAAAACTAGTTAATTATGTTTCTTTTTTCTGCTAAAGTAACTTCATTTATTGAGCAGGGGTGGTTGTTAATAAACCTCACCATGCCAGGCGGTGGTGGCGCACGCTTTTAATCCCAGCACTCAGGAGGCAGAGGCAGGCGGATCTCTGTGAGTTCCAGACCAGCCTGGTCTACAGAGCTAGTGCCAGGACAGGCTCCAAAGCCACAGAGAAACCCTGTCTCGCAAAAACCAAAACAAAAAAAAATAAACCTCACCACATATAACCAAACCCTTGCCTCTGATTTGGCAGGGCGTGTGTGTTCAACTGTCAGCACCAAAGGATTGCAGTCCCTCTGTCCATCCACACCTTCAGTGACAAGTGTCAGAGGGATTGTAAAACAACTTTTAAGGTCACATTGCTGTGTCGATCTACAGTGGTCCCTGTTCAGGCGCCACTGTCGATTGCGTTGGGTGGGTCACTCAGTCTAGGGGTTTGTAATCCACCTTGCAATCAGTTACTCCAGGGTCACAGAGGGCTACTATCTGGAAGAGAAATGGGCTAGGAAACAAGGAGAAGGCCATGCTAAGTTTGTAACAGCCTCCGTTTATCAGGGACGGGTTAGAGTTTATATAGGGTAAGGAATGGGGGGGGCACAGGGGCCTGGACTCTTGTCATTTGGTCCAGGTCACGTAGGCCAGGAGGTTACGTAGGTCAGGTCAGGTAGGACAAGCAGTCACGAGTTGCCATACCTAGTTCCCTGGATAGCTGGAATGTGAGGCAGGTTCCTCTAACAGATAACAGCTAATTGGGTGTGGGGCAGGTTTTGTCAATAGAACGCCTCTCAACATAATTATGGGTGTGGGGTTCTCTGCAGACTCCCCAGAGTGATGGTTCCTGTAATNGGGTTACTCAGTCTAGGGGTTTGTAACCCACCCTGCAATCAGTTATTCCAGGGTCACGGAGGGGCGCTACCTGGAAGGGAATGAGCTAAGACAGAAGAAGGAGGCCAAGCAGATTTGTCAAAGCCTCCGTTTATTAGGGACGGGTTACAGTTTATATATGGTAAGGAATGGGGGGCAGGGCACGGGATCTCGCCGCGTGGTTCCGGTCACGTAGGCTAGGTTACATTCGGACAGGTAGGCCAGAAGTCACAAGTTGCCACACCTGGTTCCCTGGATAGCTGGAATGTGAGGCGGGTTCCTCTAACAGATAGCTGCTAATTGGGTGAGGGGCAGATTTTGTCAATAGAACATAATTATGGATGTGAGGTTCTCTGCAGACTCCCTAGGGTGATTCCTGTAATGATTGGGGGGAAATGGCTCCTGACACACATTGCTGTAAAATAGAAACACACAGGAAAGATAGGTTTCACCAGAAGAATTTCCTCAATTCTTTATGGCTCTCAAGTATATACATATGTATGTATGTATGTATGTATGTATGTATGTATGTATGTATGTATGCCTTTTCTATGTGGTGTGCATCTAAGTGTTCATATGCAAGTCTGTTTGCGGGCTAAAAGCTAGGTAGTCTTCCTCTTCATTTTGAGGGATCACCAACCCCACTGAATTGTCTGGCCAGCGAGCCCAAGGGATCTTCCCATCCCTGCCTCCCCTGCACTAGGATCACAGGAGTGCCTTTTCTACACGAGTGCTGGGGATCTGAACTAGCACTTTACTGACTGAGCATTCTCCCGAGTCCCTAAGATTTATATTCTTGAAAGGCATTTTTGTATATAAAACACATTACAATCTACATAGAGAGCACCCCCTGAGACTGACTTAGCTCTATGAGCATGGCCTGGACTTACCAAGTCTTTTTACCAGGAACACAATCCCCATCGCCATTTATCTCACACTTGTTTTATGTTCCACAGATAACCCAGTGGGAAATCTGAATTCACAAATGTGTGACAACTCAATCTTATACCAGTTGTGAACTCCACTGAGTACAACAAAGACTGCCCTGGCAGGACATAGCCATTAGTGAAATAGTGGCACAAGCATTATAGAAGTAACCAGTTACTTGCTAGTTAGATTTCAGCCCTGTTCCGCTAGATGAAACTCACACTTGGCACCATTATTGAGCTAAAAACCTCCTGTTAGACACATCATAGATCCTAAGGAAAACCTCCTGTTAGACACATCATAGATCCTAAGGAAAACCTCCTGTTAGACACATCATAGATCCTAAGGAAAACCTGTTAGACACATCAAAGATCCTAAGGAAAACTGTAGCGCACACCATGGCACTGTCATGTCAGGGTGGGCGCCATTTCCTGTTCCACGTCAAACTTGACAGCTTGTGCGCAACTTGACAGACAACTTGTGCGCATGCGCGCCCACAGCGCATGCGCGTGCGAGCCCCCCCCCCAATGAGGGGAGTCTTTCCGTCTGGCCATCCAATCTGGCCAATCATAATTTAAGCACGATCACTCCATTCTGACCTGAGCCATTGGGTTGATGACACGTCAGGGCTTTGTCTGGCACCGTATATATTCTTCTGCGTCACGGGGACGGGGTCTTTTGCCTCTCTACAACCTCAAGTGTAAGTGCTCCAATAAAGTGTGTTCTGAGAAGAATCCTGTTGCAGTCGTCTCTTCTGCTGGCGGGAGCGGCGTGCTGCAGAAAACCTCCTGTTAGACACATCATAGATCTTAAGGAAAACCTCCTGTTAGACACATCATAGATCTTAAGGGAAACTTCCTGTTAGACACATCATAGATCCTAAGGAAAACCTCCTGTTAGACACATCACAGATCCTAAGGGGAAAACCTACTATTAGGCTTGTAAATAAAATATTAGACTCCTAATGATTCAAAACTCATCTGAAAAAGCTAACATGCAGTAAATGGTGATAGACTGGCCAATGGACAGAGACTAATTGCACACACCTTCCTTCCAAGGCTAAGGAATCACTGAAGAGAAAGTGGAAAGATTCCAACAGCCAGAGATAGTAGATGACCACTTGGAAACATCTGGACAGAGCAGTGTAGCTGCACCTATGAACTGTTGGGACAGCATGTATGAGACGTGCAAGCTCCAGACAGATCAAATCCTAGCATGACTAGGAAAGCTGGGCACACAATCTCACTCCCAGCCATGGAGCACACAGCAGCTTAGAGGAGGCAGTTTTCTGTCAGTGCATCTCAAGGTCAGTCAACCACCATGCTCAGTGGAAGGCACACATCTAAGAATATTTAAGGCAGCAAATTGGCCTTAATCTGTGTATGTGAATTAAAGGACACAAAGGTAAGTGTATAAGAAGTAGATCTGGGAAGAGCTGGAGGTTTGTGTGAATACAAATAAGTACATACATAACTTGAAACTCTTAAAGAACTAATGTCAAAAAATGTATTCCAAGGGACTGGAGAGATGGCTCAGGGGTTAAGAGCACTTGCTGTTCTTGCAGAGGACCCAAGTTTAGTTCCCAGCACCCATATAATTGTTCACAACCATCTGTAACTCCAGTGCTAGAGACTTGACACCCTCTTCTGGAAGGCGCACATGAGATATGCAGACAAAAGCCCATATATGAGTTCAAACAAACATTAAAAACATTTTTAAAAATGTATTTCAAGTAGCTTGAAAGAAGAAAATTAAATATTTGCTTTATTCAATTACAGTCAACAAGTTCCACTTTCAAACTGATTAATAAAATAGAAACTTTATTAATATTTTGCATATCCTTAAAATATGAAAAGGCAAAAAGTTTAAAAACCAGTTTTACAGATATACATGCTACAATGGTTTAATACATTTGCAATTATATAAAACACATACAAAGGATTTATAGCTTTGCATACATAAAATGAATTAAAGCATTCATATATTTCTATGAGCTAACAGTGCAATATGCACATACTTAGAAATACTGATTTCCTGAGCAATAATGTTGTAATTCAAAATCCGAGTCCCTTGATAATGCAGTGTTTAAATAACTCAATTCTGTTCTAGCACTGAGACTGGATCTCTGCTTCCTTTTCTAACCACAGCCTTCACATTTCCAGTGAGATATAATCAGTTACTAAAGAGTGGTTCATTTAATGAATTTTCACACCACCAAAAAGCACAGTCCAGAAAAGTTTTTAACACTTAAACTCCACTGGAAAAGAAAACTTGAGATTGCACGCTCCTTCCTAATCTATAGCATGGCCAGCAGACCATAGTTTTGTTTTGCAGAAAGGACAGTGAAAATATTTAAGTAGCTATCCATTGGTTCAAAACAAACTCTAACTAGTGTTTAACGAGTCAAGAATTTGTCCTAACAATATCAGGCTTTTCTTTACTTGCAATTCCAAATTTTTAAGCAAACTGATATTAATGACTATGACTCACTTATATTATAACTGTATACACACACACATGTTAAAGCCTCAAAGCAAATTCAAGTAAGGGCTTGAACATGATCCACAGCATCATTGACATTTGTGCTTATGTTGTCTAGAGTACAATGAGTTTGCAGTTGCCAAAAATTTGCATACATTTGCAAATGTGTATTTAATAGTTTCAAAAATTCTATTAAATGTTTAAATTTTTTCTTTTAAAGATAAAAGCATAATTCTACATATAGAATTATATTCAACTAGTAATTCTAAAATATACAGGAAAAGGAAATTGGTTGGTTGTTTCCTAAGGATGTGTATTGTAGTTTCTTCGAAATGGATGCTCAAGGCAGACATGATTGTAACCAACATCTCCTCCGTTAAACAGTTCACAAACCCCGGATCACAACTCCAAAGTAAAATCAGCTAGACAGAATCGCCAACTCTGTAACTTTATGTTTGATGTAAACGAAGTTCTTTGGAGGCTATGTAGCCTGTGCTGCCTGAAGTCTTCATTTTCTGCCCTGAAATCGGATTTTTCAGTAGGCTTAATAAATATGTAAACTGTTAACACTGAGCATAATGAAAGATTGTGCTCATTTCAAAATGTACATGGCATGTTAAAACAAAAATTATTTCAACTAAGATATACAAAGTGAATCAATTTACTACAACTTTCCTATTATTAAATACTTTAAAGGTAATTTTCTAAACTTCTCTCATATATGTAAGGGTTTTAAAATGACTGACTTCTGTGTCTTTTCGTAGTGCTTTTTCTTCTCAAAGTATATAACCCCCCAGTATAATAAATATGTATTAATAATTCCCTGTATCAGAATTGGAATTTGATATACAAAATGTTTAAAAGCTGAAACATTTAGGAAATAATGTCCAGAAAGTCAGATGATAAAACATATTTTAAGATGGGCAGTTTATTATACAGAAAACATGCAATCCAGATTCTACCACCTGTACCTATATTTTAAAAACACATATTTAAAATTAAACACTGAAATCAGTATACAGATGCTTTCTGATCAAATTGGTTGTATCACAGTTGACTTAGAAAAGGCCACTATTAAGCCCTTTTGATTAATCCACACAACTTTAGCCTGTGTTTCTCATTTTGATGGTGCATATTAAGTGGGGATAATCTAAACTGGACATTTTCTTTTTGAAAAGCAAAGGTCAAGGGACTACCACATAAAGTAATCTATCTCCTGCTAATGTAAAAGTCCTGTTCACTCATTTTTGCTTAGTCAGTCATGTTTTTCTGCATGACTTCAGAGGCAGATAGTAGCAATTTGTTTGACTCCATTAACTTATGCTTAAAGATGAAGACAGACAAACTTAGAGAGACCTATGGAATGCAATCTGACTGTCGAGTGACACTGTAAGGCACTACGCGTCATTAAGGCTTGTTACTATTTGTACCAGCAGTGATTAGTCACAGTGCATAACGAGCAACATGCTGAGTATGCTTTTCTGTCTACACAGTGCTTCTAAATATCAGACACATGTAGTTCTTCTGGTTTTGTTTTTGTAAGTGGAAGTGAGGTTGGAGGGATGCTCATAGAGCATTTCCTTTCCATGGACTAGGTCTTGACTGTTTCAGTGCCCTTGTGATCAAATCAAATGGCTGTTTCCAACCCTAAGACATTATTTTGGGATCTTAATATATTTAAAATTGGTTAGCCTGTATTACAGGAATTATAAATTATGTTTCCATATGTTTCTACATCTGCTTTCATAGCATGTGTTAAAACGTGTTTTTAAATTTCAAAATTGAGTATTAAGTATATGTTATATATAATTTTAAAATCAAACTTTTACAAGTTTTTTGGTGGCATGGTAGTGAATTTTCTTCAGTTGTAAGCATTTGAAACACTCGACATGAACAATCTTAAATTAAAAAAATCTTTTAAAAAATAAATTTAAACATAACTAATCTTGAAAAATTAAAAAAAATGACAGCATCTTCTATGTTATAATTCCTAGAAATACATTTAAATTAATTTCTGCTTTAAGAGCTGACACAGCAGATGTATTCTGACCACTCTCACCATAAAGAAGCAATCGTGTGTGTTACAGACAGTCCATCTGTAAAAGGTTCAGGGACTCCTAGGAAGGTCAAAGCATCTTCCATGTTCCTAGATTCTGTCTTAGAAGCTGTTGTTGGGTATCTCTGAACCACCATATTCCATATGCACACATGATCATCACACAGATCAGGCTCACTGCTATGTTTTGTGCTGAGCAGCAGGGGATTGAGAATGTTGCCTGTACAGTTTGTGGTCATCTTGTTGACCAGCATGTATTCCTTTTGTTGTAACAAGTCCATTTCCCGTTTCTCTGTGCTGCGATGGAGGTGTGAGTCCTGGATGCAAATGTGAAGAGCCCACTGTTGAGTGGTGACTAACATCCACTTTAGCTAAAATTTCATAATAAAGCAAATAAAAGACTGGTGTTATTATACCCACTATCAACATTATCACTACCGCTGTCCACCAGCCAATTCCCCAGTCGGCTCCATAGTATGGGTCCTTTCTGTGAGTGCTTCTGCTATCCGGCTCAAAGTGGATCTGTTGTGCTGCTAAGGCAGACACTACCTCGTTCAGGTTCTCCTTCTTGGTGTCTGTGCACTTTACCAGTTCTTCTATGTCTCGATCCACCTCTTTCAGGAAACTGCCAGCTGACCCTCTGGAGGACAGAGAGTCCTCCACGGGCACAGTATCCTGTTCTTGAGCAAATGCAACAGGTGGGGGTTGAGAGCCTTGTCTTCCTTTCAGAGGATGAAGACTTTCAGTCAAAGAACTAAACTTTTTCACTGGAATTTTGATAGACCTAAGGGCAAAAAAGTCTTGATCACTGATGAGATTGTTAACTCTTTTGATATCTGCTACCTGCAAAAAAGAAAAACACAACATTTAACTGAATTCTAAAACTAGACCTAAAACCTTCCTTCATTCATTTAAAGGGGAAAAAAAATCACTGAATTTCATTCTTACTGTTAATACCGGTCCCACACCCAGATTTTACATTTACTTATATATGAGAAATCTAAACACTAAATTTATATAGTGTTAGGAAATCACCAGCGATTTTGTATTGTCACCTAGACAGCAGTATCGTTAGTTATACGCAGATATTTTGTCGTTCTTCTTTGCATGTCATACAATTTACCACAGGAAATTTATGTTGGCATGCAATTTGTGAATAAGAATTGCTGGTACTAATGTTTGTGCTCCAATCTTGCAATTGCAGGAAAGCACATGAACTTACACAGATATAAGGAGCACATTTTAGCAAAACTAAAATTCCATCAACACTACTGTGCCCCATGATTCTAGTTCTCTCTAGTCATCTGTCAATGTGTTACTTTCATTGGTTAATAAAGAAACTACCTTGGCCTTTTGATAGGACAGCAGCTTAGATAGGCGGAGTATACCAAACAGAATGCTGGGAGAAAGAAGCAGAGTCAAGCAGACACCATGGCTCTCCGACTCATAGGTTAGAATCTTCCCGGTAAGCCATGACATTGTGGTAAACACAGATTAATAGAAATGGGTTAATCAAAATGTGAGAGTTAGAACTAATGGGCCAGGCAGTGTTTAAATGAATACAGTTTTCTATGTTATTATTTCTGGGACTAGGCTAGCTGTGCGGGAGCCAGGCGGGACGAAAAGCAGGCCTGCTCGCTTCTTCGCTTCAAGGCTAGTCACACTAGAACAAGCAGTGGGGGCACACACCTTTAATCACAGCAGCTACACTAGTTAGTGACAGAGGCTGGGTGTTGGTGGTGCATGCCTTTAATACCAGCACTAGAGAGGAATGTAAGGCAGGATGAGACGGAAACTCGCTCTCTTTCAGTCTGAAGATTTCATAGAGTCTCTATCAGTTTTCTGCAGTGAACCATGAGCATACCTAACAGCAACTTTTGAAGTCTCAATAAGGAGGATGGGGCCTCACAATGTCTATTCCTCCAGGACTGTATCACCACTGAGCTGAAAAACACCACCTAAAGATCAGCTCTTGAACTACAAACAGCTCAGAACAATTTCAAGGTGGCTAGCTGAGATGATCCAGCCTCAGAGACTACCTGAGCCAGGACTTGAGACAAGTCCTGCACTTACCTATTACATAGAAAATAATCAACAAATGATATAGCTACCCCTTCCAGGACTTGAAAATTAGCCCAAATTTTTCTTTTCAGAACCCCATAAAAATACTGTTGCCCCCCAGATAGAAGAAAGTAAATTTAAGAATATGACCCCCACATTCCCAAGAGGTAGGGTGGGTGGTTTTTGGTTGTTCAATGGGTTATAGATGTTTGTCATTGTTTAGGTGGGTCTGGGTTACAGTTAACAACTTGGACACATTTAGGATGACAGTCCTGGATGTCTCATTCCCTCATCACTGTTTTGTAACAAGCATATTGTCAATATAGCAATAACTACTGATGGTATAAGCAATGGGAAGTCCATTTGTAAGCTAATATACATCAATCCTTTATCAGCCCCTAAATACTTATCTATATAGATAATAACAAGCCCAAAAAGAAGGTAGATAAAAGCACCAAAGTGACACACTGAATTAGCAGAAATTCAAGCATTCACTTAAAATGTTAAAAAGATCATGTCCACAGGCAAGAGAGATCTCTGTGCAAAGAAGACAACTGAGCAAAAAGGAAAGGAAGGAAGAAGGCAAAGGACACAGAATTACTTCAGTTCTGGCTGGACTAATAAACAACTATTCTGGACTCTATTATGCAAAGATAAATTAAATGAAGATTCTGGACTCTATTATGCAAAGATAAATTAAATGAAGACTTACCGTACAGCAATACTGAAGGGCTACTGCATTTAGAGTGTCCCCTTCCTGTATATCTCTTGTTAATATAATGATGTCATCAAGTCTGTCTCGTGATGTGCTTCTTCGAACCTTCTCCTTTCCTCTGGATCGAAGTTCATACACTTCGGCATCTTCTTCCAACACATCACTGTCTGTACAATTTCCAAAGGGATGCAGCTGGCCACTGGCCTGAATTCCTGGGAAGGCAACAGATCGATTCTGATTCCTCCCCGCCATGATCTTACAATCTGGAAGGAGAAAAGACAAAACCTTAGCATGGCACTGACCCGTGTCACTGATTGACATGAGCCATAGGCTCTAGAGACTATTTCTAATAGTCCTCTTAGTTACACAGGAACTGAGGTCCACCTTCTGTACCTGGGGACCTGCGTCCCACAACCTGGCAGTGGTGACAACAGTGTGGCAAAAGGACAGCTATTGCGAGCCTTACACGATCTACTGAGACTCTTGTTTGCTCACGACACTTTACACAAGAACATTTGCAGACAAGAGTCAAGATTTCGTTTAAAAACCATTATTTGGTACACATATAATTTTACCATTTGTTAAAGACAAAAGTAAATCTGAATACTGAGATGTTCTTGTGCTCGTTCCTTTCTGCATCAGGAACTCAATCTGTCTTGTGCTACTGCGTCGGCTCTGTGGGTAACGGTGCTTACTGTCAGGCCTCGCTACTAAGTTCACCTCTGGAAACCATGCAGTACAAGGAAAGAAAAGTCCACAAATTGTCCTTTGACCTCCAAACCCATGATGTGTTTATATATATATATATATTTCAAACATCAATCTTGTCTAAATTTCTGGTACTGTACAACAAATAGAATTTTCAACATTTTTCAAAGTTGATCAATGAAATGATTTAGCATTGCCAGGACTGATAATGTTGCTTCACTTAAATATTAGCACAAAATGTCATATGGTATGGCCATTTCAGAAATTGTTCAAAATATCAAGTCAAATTCATTTAACAGTTTCTCATAAAACCCAAGTCAGCAACTCTAAGAGAAGTCATTTTTTTAACTAATCTATTTATTGAATGTGTGTGCTGCCATGATGTCAGAGACAACTCGGGGTACTTGGTTCTCTCCTTCCACCATGTGGACTCTGGAGACTGATCTCAGTTCTCCAGGGTTGGCAGCAGGTACCCTTAAACACTGAGTCATTTTGCCAGTCTTCTAAAAGCAATTTTTCAACCTAGCATCATAATAACATACTATCCAAAATTAATTAGATGCTTACATGCTGAGACATATCAGTAGAAAAATGTTAAACATCTTTATTCTGTAATGGAAACATTACATTTCTTGGAGTGGGGCATTTCCCAGAGCTGTTGCCATGGAATCTGATGGCACACAAAGTGCACACGTCCAGAACCAGGGCTGCAGTGATGTGGTGAGCACTGCCAGAGATGCCTCACACAGCGGATTTGCTGGCTCTCAACTGATTGGGGTTATTCTGCTCTCAGAACCTATTTACTGTTCATAACCTCACATTCGGGTATGTGACCCCAGATGTGATTGAGACCCTGGTTTAAGAAGCTGTGACTGTCTGGGTATGGCGACACACACCATTCAACCCAGCAATGGGAAGTCAGAGAAAGGAAAAAAAAAAGCCATGATTTAATTAACCACATGTCACAAAAACATGGGATAACTATATTCAGAACTAGAAAAATTACTGTACTTTATATATCAAAATATTAAGTTCTCATTCTATTACTATAAAGAAACCTAGAAAGTTCTGACTGTTTACAACTAGTAGTTCTGAAGGAATCAAAGTATGTGTTCTACACATACACACACAATTCTAGGAAGTCAATCCTTTCTTGCTCTACATTTGACTTCACATGGGATTAAATATCTCTGCACTTCTGACTCACTGGATCATGTTAAACTCAGAATTTATATTTATTACAGGTCAGCATATATACTCTGGGTCATGTTAAATTCAGAATTTATATTTATTATAGTATATAATATATAATATAGTATATCTCAGTTATATGTCACAAGTTGGCTCCTGAACAGGGATGTTTCTTTGAAAGCTTTTGATTTAAAGTTCTCATCAAATTCAATTTATACCCCATAAAGATTGAGTGGATTTTAGGCATTTATATTCACTTATACTTAAAAAAAATACATCAAATGAGAACTGAGCTAAGAAATATTTATCAATGAATACATCTTATTTACTTCCAAAGTCACTATCAGCATGCCTTCATCAATTTGATCAAATTCTCTTTAAAAAGAAACAAGCACAAGATCCTAAAGAACAAATTTCACATCCTGTTTTGGTTTCACTTTAATTATCCCTGTAAGCGAGGACAAACATAATGAGAAAGGCTTTTGCAGATTGAAAAAAAAAAAAAAACCTTTCAAACTTCAATATATTTCAGACACAAAACAAGAAGGTGAAGTATCCATTCCTGAATATAGGACCCTTCCCTTAAAATACGGAAGACTAAGAAGAGCCAGGCACAGGGATCGGGTGTGACTATTTTGCCGGCGAGTTTCTTTGTCAATTTGACAGAAACTCCAGTTGAGAAAATGCCTCATCAGACTGGCTGGTAGGTAAATCTGTGAAGCATTTTCTTAACTACTGACAGATATGAGAGGGCCCAGGCCCAGTCCAGCCCTGGGCAGGCGGTGCGCTGAGGAAGCTATGGAGAGCAGCCCAGCAAACATCATTCTTCCATGGTCTCTGAGTGCCTGCCTTGGCTTCCCTCAATGATGGACTGTGATGGGATGTGTAAACCAAAGAAACCCTGTCCTCCTCAGGTTACTTGATGGTCATGGTCTTGATCACAGTAATAAAAACCAAACTAGATCAATTATAACCAATTCCTCTAAGACAGCAAAACCTAATGTTAACTACACAGTGTTATCTCAGTGAAGATAAAATCTTCCAGCAAACATGGAAAAGGAGTGCCCGGGGAGGAAGAAATCATTAAAATGTTATGCCATTGAATCCTAGAATGCAAAATGAAGTCTAGAACGATGTATTCCTATTTTGGACTCTATGGATGAGAAACAAGTAAAAACAAAATATGCAACCGGTGGGGGGGTGGGTAGCAGGAAACAACAAAAACAACTAACTCCAAGTCACAGATGACAGAAGATTATAGTCTCTAAAATACCTCGATTTCTGTACCTAAATTTCAAACCAATGTCATTTAATTAAAAGCAGCCTTTAAAATCCAGTTTCTGGCCTTGCTTTACAGCAACACTGTATTGCTTTAGAAATTCAAAGTTTCTATGTAGATAACTTATTAACTAATAGGTATACATTGGTAGTTTGATTCAGCTGTTGCCACAGATGCTACATTATTTGTTGCCAAAAACTAACACTCCAAATTTGACAGCCTCAACCTAAAGAGAGCCCACAGTTCACATCCCAGGAGCAGTTTAAAGTCAGCATCACACCTGTTTCTCCAAGGACAAGTTTTGCTTCCATTTATCCAGGTCTTTTTTAGTACAACTATCTGGAATTTACTGAGTAATGTGTAAAAGCCATTTGAGACAAAATTTACTTATATCAATCTTTTTCCTCACGACAGGAACTGAAAGGCTCGCATCTCCACGTAAATGACCCTCTCTTCCTCTAAAAGGAAAAGGAAGCTGGATAAACAACCTGAACACTCATGTCTGAGTGACTAAGATTTGGCTGGGCTAGTCTGTAATCCAAGTGCCAAGCTACACTTTGGCCCAGGCAGACAATGATATGATCAAACTACTAAAGATTAGAAAGTACACAGTATCCGTGTCATCCGGCTCAATTCTCTTCACCTCTCTAAATTCTCTATGAAATCTGGCTTCGTAAAACTAGAACAACTTGCATGCTGCACCGCGGACAAACGGCCTGAAAGTGCCCATCAACGGATACAGTGAGTATGTTTTCATCCGCTCAGCCTATAACCGAAAGCGACCTCCCAAACCCTAGGTACTACACAGTAACTGCTACTGGGTGTTTGGTCTTGACCTTAGGCAGGGCGCGACAGACGACTCCTAGTCCAGTTCAGCACTGAGACTGAATCACCCCGGTCCTATCCACCAGGGCCAATTTTAAACCAAAGCAACAACTACAAAACTCCTCCCTCTCTGTCAATTCCATTCGTTTATTTTTACTTTTCCCTCTTTTTCCTCCGATAGTCCCCCTTCAAGAATCACATCTCTGATTTATAAGTCTCAGCATCAGACTAGAACGCTAAGGAGCAGATGCTCTGGGGAAAGCCTGGCGCGGCATGGGCTGCCCGGAACCGAGAGGTCGGCGTCCTGGCCGAGCCAGGGGGCAGCGCCCCGCGGGGACCCCGGCCGACGTCGCGCCCGCCCGCCCCGCCCCGCCCCCAGCCACCGTCACCTGGCCTCTAGCTGGGACGCGGGGACACGGTTACGTCCGCCACCGCGGCCCCGGGAAGCTCATGACCGACTCCAGGTGCTCGGCCGTTCCGGGCGCTCTTCTGCCGCCGTCGCCGCCGTCGCCGCCGTCGCCGCCTTCCGGACCGACAGCCGCCGCCACGTCCGCAAACCTGCGGTGCGTCATCGCGTAGAGTAGGCGGAGGTGCGAGGGCGCGGGCGGGGGCGGGAAGCCCAGAACCCGGGCGGCCAACCGCAGGCCCACGCTAGCACGCAGGCGCGCCGACGCAAGGGGCGGAGCATGGATTCGGGTCCGCCTTCAGCCCCGCCCCTATGGGCGGTCCTAGCGGGGTTGGATTTCCCCAGCTGTGGGAGGATCGGGCAAGCCCAACCCTCCCTCACCCCCCCCCCCAGCAAAGAAAGGCGTGGAGAGGGCGGGATGAGGAGTCAACGGAGAGCCACAGCGCTTTTTTTCTCGCTCCACATCTGGACTTTTCTTCCCGGTGGGGCAGAGGAAAGCACAAGTTAACGTTCCTGTTTTAGAAGATCGAACTATGAACCCACAGGGCAGCAAGACAGACAGGGTGCTGGGTTGGGAGCAGTCTTGGGACCCTAGGTGAGCTGAGTGAGCCCTCTAAAGCAAAGTCGGGGAAGGGTTGCCCTGAAGCTACACACTGAACGGGACAAAGTTGTCAACAACTTGTTACTGACCTCGGATTTGGAAATTAACAGGGCGTCACTGGTAGTCAGTGTTGCAGCATCCGATGTCAAAGAAATAAAAACCCCATGTCTTCCGACTTAATTTTTATCACAAATTTATTGGCTTTTGTTTGTATTTATGCAAATGACTGTATGACATTTTAATGGTGTGTCTGGTATTTTGTGTTGACTACGGGCACTGCACTTGACTGACTACCCATTTAGGCCCACATTACTTGAACGCCGGATGTACCGCACTTCTCTTTACAGTCTGAATATTCATTCCTTTTGAAGCCTATAGGACGCCGTTCCATATCCTTTCCAAAGGATTTTTTATTTGGTTGATTGTTTTGTTTGCTGGTTCGGTTTTCTGGGAAGTGTCTCTGCAAGGGTTGGGAATTTTACTTCCATTGCAGTAAGCGCCTTTTATTGAAAAGGTTAGGCACAGTGCACGGTGCTGAACAATGTTACAAAGACCTCTAGGCAAAGAAAACCGAGGGGGAAAAAAGTTTGCGGGAGCTGTTCTGTGTGCTGTTGCCCCTGTGACACCGCTGTCTGTAACCATTTATCACGGAGACGTTTTCTCATCAAGAGACAAAGGATACATTCGTCCTTGGCGTGTAGGGCTTCAGCTGTTCCGCTCTCATGCACGCTAATGGAATGAAACCTTTTTGCATGCAGGTTACTTTTCTTACTCAGTGTCAATAGGCCACGGAATCCTTGGGAGAAGCTGAGCGACGGAATGAATTCCATGCATTGCTACCTGTTCACTTTGAAAAACATTCTATATGATATCCGCAAAGCTTTTGGGCAATTATTTCTACCTAACAAAAATTGAATAAAAGTCCACGATATATGTATATTTCATTATGAGACTATACAAAAGAAGCAGTTGGCCATGAATTTTGGCTAAGTTCCAAAAAGCTAACCAATAGGAACAAGAATTTGTCTTTGGAGAAAGGATGTTCTCAGCAATCCCCAAGGCCGGAGGGAGGCTTTGTTTTTTCCCATTAAACTGCTGTAGTTGAAAGGCCATGTGTTTCCATGAATTTGCATTCTTTTGTCCCTAGCATTTAGGTTGAGCTAGAGTAAATGTTGTGTGGTATAGAGAGTGTAAATTGATATAACCTGTGAGAAAAGGACATTTGTTAATATGCATTAAAATTAAAAATGCAATTTCCTGGGCTGCAACTTTACTAAGTGCTTACCTTAAATTCACTTACAGATACGGTTGAATAAGATTTAACAGGTAAGTTCAGGAATGTTTACTACAGTAATGGCCAAAAAGAAAAAAAAAAATCAAAGTGTTCATCATTACTAACTAGATACTTTGGGTTCATTAAAACACTGTAATATTTGATCAAAAATTTAAGTTAGAAAAATAAATAAATAAGATTTAAGTTAGTATTTATTTACAGATTTATTCATTAATTTGCCTATAAACTTTAGTAAACTTTAGGTTAAGGAGTATGTACAAGAAATGTATTCCACAGCCAGGCAGTGGTGGTGCACGCCTTTAATCCAAGCACTCAGGAGGCAGAGGCAGGCGAATCTCTGTGAGTTCAAGGCCAGCCTGGTCTATAAGAGCTAGTTCCAGGACAGGCTCCACAGCTACAGAGAAACCCTGTCTTGAAAAAACAAAACAAACAAAACAAAACAAAAACAAAAAAAAACAAAAAAAACAAACACACACACACACAAGAAATGTATTCCAGTCATTACAGATCCAGTTCTTTTTTTCAAAAGACTAAATACCCAACTTGAGGACATGCCTTTGGAGCCCAACACCCAAATAAAAATCCAGGCGAGGGTGTGTGTGTGCCTGTAACCCCAGTGTGGGGTGCAGGTGAGGAACAGAAGCAGGAGGATCCCTGGCGCTTTCTGACTACTGGTCTAGCTCCCAGGGAGGAAACCCCTGTCTGAAAGGAATAGAGAGAATGACTGGATAGGACACTGGTGTGGGAGGTCCTTCTGTATGCGTGTTCTTTTATTGGTTAAGAAGCTGATTTGCCGGGTGGTGGTGGCGCACGCCTTTAATCCTAGCACTCAGGAGGCAGAGGCAGGCGGATCTCTGTGAGTTAGAGACCAGCCTGGTCTACAGAGCTAGTGCCAGGACAGGCTCCAAAGCCACAGAAAAACCGTGTCTCGAAAAACCAAAAAAAAAAAAAAAAAAAGAAGAAGAAGAAGCTGATTTGCCCTATGACAGAGCAGAATAGAGCTAGGTGGGAAAACTAAACTGAATGCTAGGAGAAAGTAGGTGGGAAAAACGTGAGCCATGTGGCTGCTGCCAAAAAAGACAGATGCCTGGGAACTTTACAGGTAAACTGCAAGCCTCAAGGTAAAATGCAAAATAATAGAAATAGATTAATTTAAGATGTAAGAGCTAGCTAGCAATACACTTTTTGAACCCTAGAGTCCAACTACCAATTAGGAGTCACCCCAAGAACACTCTCACACCTCAATTGATGTAAAATCAAAAGGATTTTAATTCTGCCGCTGTAGGGTCACTTAGCATTCAATAACATTCAATGCTAAGGACCCTTAATGCCTGTTACAAGCCATTTTTAAAGCGAAACACCATAGAAACAAGGGGGGGGACTTGGGGGCAATTTTCCACTTATTAAGATTGGCTTATTCAGGGGGGCTTCTAATAGCAAGTGGTCTGAGCAAGGGCTGGAGAGCAGTTGCCAGGTCAGGCAAGGCAACAGGGAACATCTGGGAGTCATTCTGACTCCTTTCCAGGGACCGAGTCAAAACATTGGTGGACATCTGTGGGTTATCTTGTCCCAATTCTAGGAACGGAGCTCTATTTGGAGAACATCCACAAGGACATAGGGAGATGGAAAGTTCCTAACATTTCAGTAAGTGCGTGTATCGTTGTTAGATTCCTGGCGTGGGTGTGGGGGGGGGCTTAAGGCACTAAGACTGAAAAGGGATCAGAAATGACCTCAGAATTGTCTTAAAGTTCTACACACTTAAGATATTTCCAGTGTTTTAAATAATATAGTTTCTGTGTACTTATTTTGGGTCTAAGCAGCTTGGAAGGAATGAACAGCCTCGGCCAAAAGGACACCTATCAGGCAGGGTTTCTACTGCTATGACAGAACATCATGACCAAAGAGAAAGCTGGGGAGGACAGGGTTTATTTGGTTTACACTTCCACATCACTGTTCTTCATAGAAGGAAGTCAGAACAGGACCTCACACCTGGCAGGCACCTGGAGACAGGAGCTGATGCAGAGGCCATGGAGAGGTACTGCTTACAGGTTTGCTCTCAAGGGCTTGCTCAGCCTGCTTTCTTACAGAACCAAGAACCACCAGCCCAGGACTGGAACCACCCACAATGGACTGCGCCGGCCCCCACCAATCACTAACTAAGAAAATGTCTTACAGCCTTGCCTACCACCTGACCTTATGAAGGCATTTTCTTAATTGAGGTTCCCTTCGTTCAAATGGTGTCATCTTATGAAGCATGTATGACTATGAGCATGTAGAAAGATCTCCAAAATATATTTTAAAGTTAAAAAAGTAGATAGTCATGTAGGAGATACAGTGGGTTTTCTTTGGGGACACAAACAATTTAAATGTACCTCCCCCACTTTATTATCAATAAAATATTGAGAGTAGACACATTTATTTTTTAATAAGTTCTCCCAGAGCCAACTGCACATGTCTGAACCATTAAATTGTTTGAAACTTTGTATCTAAGTGAACCAAATCGGTTTCTTTAAAAATGAAAGCCAAAGCTTTCCTTCTTTTTTCAGTTCTTCCTGATCCCTGGGCTGGTTCTTTCAACCCTGGGGTGCCACTTTCTGCTACTTTCTACACATTTTCAGAAGCAAAACAGGAAAACATTGTTACATATTCAAGAAACCCTGAAAGGAATTTCAAATTGGGCTATTCAGTGAGTTTTAAAAAACCCTCATATCTCAAGTCCAAGTGGATTAAATACCTCAATATCAGTCCGAACACACTGAACCTGATAGAAGAGAAAGTGGGAAGTACTCTACAACACGTGGGCACAGGAGACCACTTCCTACGTATAACCCCAGCAGCACAGACAGTAAGGGCCTCATTGAATAAATGGGACCTCCTGAGACTGAGAAGCTTCTGTAAAGCAAAGGACACTGTTGCTAAGACAGAAAGGCAACCCACTGACTGGGAGAAGATCTTCACCAACCCCGCAACTGACAAAGGTCTGATCTCCAAAATATATAAAGAACTCAAGAAACTAGACCGTAAAAGGCTAATCAACCCAATTATAAAATGGGGCACTGAGTTGAACAGAGATCTCTCAACAGAAGAAGTTCAAATGGCCAAAAGACACCTAAGGTCATGCTCAACTTCCTTAGCGATCAGGGAAATGCAAATCAAGACAACTTTAAGATACCATCTTACACCTGTCAGAATGGCGAAAATCAAAAACACCAATGATAGCCTTTGCTGGAGAGGTTGTGGAGAAAGGGGTACA